AAAATCGTTTTTAGGTGATGAAGTAAAAAAAAGGTGGAAGAATATCAGAGACACATTTGCAAAATATATAAAATCTACCAAACCAAAGACCGGCCAAGCAGTGGGCAACATAAAGAAATGGCAGTGGGCTGACTACATGGAATTTTTCGGTCCTTTTTTGGCATTTGCCAAAACGTCGTCTAATGTGAAAGATATTGACGTCATACATTATGAGACTGCCGAATTTAACTCAAATATATATCAGGAAAGGGCTGGAAATGTAGAAACCGTAAAGTTGGAAGACCGCGGCCATGGAGAAGATGAAAATGCTGATGTAGATGCAGAAGATGCACAGAACGCCTCGGCAACACAGACAGCACCACCTTCTTCATTGAACACTACAGCAGTGACTACTCCAGGGCACACCTTTCCGCAGACTGCAACTACACCAAAATATAAAACGAGCAGAAAACGCTATGAACCACCATCTTCGTCTGTACAACAGCTCATTGATTATTTTGAAGGTAAAAAACCTAAAAAAGAGAACGAGGCCATTGATTCACTTTTCTTGGCACATGCACAGACTGTGAAAACACTTCCCTTAAAGCGTCAAGCCCGAATAAAACTAAAAATAGCCGAATTCATAGCGCACGAAGAATTTGAACATATTGAAGAAATGTCTTCAGCGTCTACCCAGAATTCTGCAAGTATGTATGATAGTAGTATGTCGTCCTTCCCAAGCGGCACTGGGTTTACTCCAATAATATACCCAACAGAGGAGGCAAATTCTGCCTCGAATCATTTAGCAACATTTAAGCCTAGTGGCAACATGTAGTCCAATTATTACAATAAAATATTTATTTCACGATCCCTGATGTTTTCGTATTCGATAAGCCTACTAATTTTAATACATATAATTTTTTTACTTGAGTGTAATAGCAAGTCGTTCTTCTGGCGAAATAGCTTCACGATAATTTGTGTCAGATTTTCGTATTTCATCTTTCACCAAGTTCAATATTTCATCGAAACACTCTGGAGTCATTCTAAAATATACGTAAAAGCGCTGTTCATCCAGCCGAAGTTGTGGCATCAAAGTATGGTATTCGCCAAATTTATTTCGTTCCATCATGTACCCACTTCCTTAGTTTCCTAAACAAAATTGAAAATATTTGTTTTATGTACTTCGTTAAACTTAATACATACCCAACTATCAAATGGCGTTAAATAAACATAACTTACCGTGCATCTTGTTCCTCTTCTAAAGCAAGAAATAGAAGTGCCTCCTCTTCTTCTGAAGACGAGCTCATTGCAAAAGGCAAAAATAAAATGTATGCAACCTGTCGAAACCTTCACGTTCGCGGAGCGAATAAGACGCTTTGGTATGAATAAACAGGCGAAACAGATTGCGAATTTCGCTCTGAATTTCGTTGCGAATACTTCGTCGCGATTATTTCGCGCCGGTTTGTGGGATACTTTAATGTTCTCGTTTGAGTTCCATTTTTCTAGTGACTTGGTGACACTTAAGAATTCACTGTGGTGAGAACACTGCACGTATTGTCGTGAAACTTTGAATTTAAGTTTACTAAAGAGTGAGGTTAAGATTCAGTACTGACGTTCGATCCGCGCGGCCTACTATGTGTCTATATGCAAAACTTAAAAGACATCCCTCGTACCTCGTGAGCGCAAAACACAATAGAGTATGTCAAGAGAGAAGAATGCATTAGAGGCGGTTATGTGGAGAATAACGCGACGGCTGGTCGAGACCAAGCACTACAAAGAGGTGTGAGGTGCACTTCGTCCTCCTCTATTATGTCTGCCGGTATATAGGTCAGTACGGTGTGTCGCGGAAAGCGCATATGAAGAGGTTGCATATATGAACCCGACAAAGAAGTTTCACTTGCCATATACAGAACGTGAAACAGCGCCGAAAAAGTGAAAAACGGCGTCAAGTAGATTGACTCTGTACTTTTTTTAAGTGATGCAATGGCTTCAAAACAACAGTACCGCCTGGAAAGTGTCTCAAATTGGAAACCGAACGAGAAAAAAGGTTTTTCAGGTCCCCCTAATTCCAAAAATGTGACACTACCACCGAGGTGGGAGGGGGTGGACTGGTCGTGCACACTAGTCGTTACTTTTTGATATCACAAGTATTTAAAAAAAACTCTTTTAGTTTTTCAAATTGCCTTTGATTTTCTCTGATTTGCTGTCGATGACCACTTCACTTCAAATCGTTTTTTTTCACAAAAACATAAAATATTTAATGAAAAAGAATGAAACAGCTAAACTGATTTTCAGTTCGCCTTTTTTGCTAGCATGATTAGACTAACAGGAAAATGGATGTTGGGTTGCGACTGAGGAATATGATTTTTATTTTTTAATTATTTAATAAAATTGCCACTAATTTATTGATGTCAAGTCACTCAGTCATTTATTTATTTATTTATTTATTTCCAACAGGTGAAACTCAATTACAGGAAACGCTGAAAAAAATAACAATTAAAGAGACATGGTTCTTGGACTTAAATCTATAGTATCACACATTCTAAATAAGATTGGATGATCTATAGCAGTTAATAATGTCACTGTAAATATCACACGATTCAGTAACACTGTTCATGACGCAGCACATGAGATTAATTGGCGATTTTGTCATAACATTTGTACGGCCAGCTTGACAATAGAATGCCGTTTGTTGTCGACTCCCTAGCCTTGGAACGGGGAAACATATTTTTCAAGTAAATTTTGACAGTCAATTTTATTGTGAATGAGGCCATACAAAAACGACAAAGCAAATATGTTTCGTCTTGTTGACAGTGAATCCAAATTGAAAAACTCTAATAGGGCACTATGGTCACAACCTCTTTCTGGTTAAGAACCTGTGCATTTAAGGTGAAAATACTTTAAAGCTTTACGTTGAATGGCCTCAAGGATCACGACAGAATTTTGGTATATAGGAGACCAGATCAGAGTCGCATACTCCAACTTGCTCCTGACAAAAGTAAAAATTAAGTCATTAATGTATCAACATTGGAGAAACCCTTCCAGTTTCTGATACAGAAACCAAGTAGTCGAGTGGCAGCCGACGAGATATTAAGTATATGCTCAGTAAACGTTAGCTTCGTATCAAAAATGACTCCAAGGTCTCTATAAGAGGTGCATCTGTCTATAACCTGACCATTGATGTTATAATTATTATAAATTAAATAGTTAACTTTTCTTGTATAAGTCATAACTTTACATTTCGAAACATTCAGACTGAGACAGTTTCGTGAACACCATGACGAAATTAGAGCTAAGTCATCTTGCAACATGACGCAATCCTCGACTGTCTTGACTGACGTGCAGATTTTAAGGTCATCAGCGAAAAACAAATGGAAACACTTCAGTTCAAAAGACAAGTCATTAATACATATTAAAAACAATAATGGACCTAGATTTGACCCTTGAGGTACCCCAGACGTGGCCCGATAGTAACTCGACCTATGACCACCATATTCGACAAATAACCTTCTATCCCTCAAATATGAATTCATGAGCGACAGCATTGCATCAGACATACCCACTGTTTTAAGCTTATCCAGAAGTGCATAATGATCAACTTGATCAAACGCCTTCTGAATATCTGTGTAGTTGACATCAACTTGTCCCTGACCATCCAGTACTTCAGAAATGTACTAAGTAATCAGAGCCAAGTTGGTGACCATAGATCTGCCTTTCATAAACCCATGCTGATTAATAGAGACTGCACCCCTGACCGAGCAGTAGACCGTTTCATAAGCGATGATCTCAAACAACTTGCTGAAATTGCACAGGATTGCTATTTGGCGATAGTTGGAAATATCAGAGATATCCACTTTTGTGAATAGGACATATTTTAGAGGTCTTCCAGATATTTGGATATGTCTCTGATTTTAGAATTAGGTTGAATATGGAAGCCAGCGGTTTCGCTAGTATATGAATGCAATCTTTAACGAAAAAACTTGGAATACTATCACATCCAGACGTCATTTTGTTCTTTAATCTTCTCGAAGCCCTAATTACGTTTTCTTCACTTATAAATGATATCGGTAGAATTATTTGTTGGAGGAGATGACCCTAGTAGACCAGACGGGATAAAAACTGTTGAAAAGAAGGTAGCAAAACTGTCCACTATATCCTGAGGCGAATCGCAGACATTGCCGTTAAGCGTCATCCTTGGGGGGATTCTAGATTGCTGTTTTTTGATCGGGGCAATTCATTGACAATGGCATCCTCAACCGATTGGACGTAATCGGAGTAGGCAACACTGATCTGGTTCTTAATAAGCTTCCTAAAATTACTGAACTGATCATAAGAAAACGTTTCCAGTTCCTTCTTGCTATGTCCTTCTTCTTGATATTAAGTATAATTTCACGTGTGAACCATGGGGGATACGAAAACATTTTATTTTTACATTTAGGGACATGGACCTCAAAGATGTTATTGATAACTGAATACAAGGCGGTACAAGCGACATCAACATTAACCTGAAACAAAGGGAATCGGAGAATTCTCAGGTGTTGAACTGTCTTAGTTTCAAACCGAAAGTGTTCCCTGTCAGGGTATCCTTCCAATAAATGTTAGAAAATGTTTAAGTTTTTGAAAATTTCGGAAAATTAACATTTTTTTCCAAAAAGGCCCTCTAAAATTTATGTTCCGAAAACGTTCCTATACGATAAAAATAAAGAAAGTTCCGCAAATTGAGATTTGTTAGGCCGATTGCGTGGTCGGTGAAAGATTCTTTCGTATTGAATGGAGCGGAAACAGATGAAATTTCCCCCTCCTCTCGAACTTTTGACAGTTTCAAGTTAAACCGAGAGTGATTAGATGGCGCAAAATTTTTGGTTTAAACTCCTTGATAAACGCAGCTGAAAGTAAAAGACCCGTTCGCTTTTTTCAAACAACGTGATGAACCGATTCTGGAACGCGAAAATTCAATCTGGCTTGGAGATTTTGGTTTTCTTGTGGATATTACAGGTAAAATTAATGAACTTAATTTGCAGCTTCAGGCGAGAAACAACGAACTAGCGGAAATGATTTCTGATATAAAAGCGTTTATCAAAAAGCTTGAGTTTTGGGAACAAACCGGCCATATTCCTGTTCTTTCAAAGAAGATATCTCAAAGTCCATTGGAACCATATGACAGTAAATATCATGTAGAAGGATTTCAACGAAATTTGTTGTTTTGCCCATGGAAATCGATATACGTCTTATAGTCCCGATTTCTTTACTTTCCCGAAAATTGAAAACAGACTGCGTGGTGAAAGGTTCCAGTCACCAGAAGAAGCAGTCGACGCATTCAAAAATGCCGTTTTGGATCTGCCAGCAAACGAGTGGAATGAGTGCTTCGAAAATTGTATGAATCTTCGTGAAGAATACTTCGAAAAACAATAAAGTCATTTAAAACTACCTACCGTGTTGTTCTATTTCCACATACAAAACAAAACACAACGGTCGTACATGCTAAGTGACTTCGGATTCGATTTTAGCGACTCAAAATACGTAAGATAGAGGTCATTTGAGCCCCATTTTCAAAGCATATTAATTTTTAGTAACCATATGAGGGGGACATGAAGCTATTTGAATGTATGCAAAAAAGTAATTTGTCCATCTTTGACCTTCAATCAAAAATTTAGTCAGCAAATTCTCTCGATGACGAGAAAGGATATATGTATTTTCGCTCTAAAACCGCTTATTGTCATTTCGATCGTTTTTTGGCTAGTCAGCTGGGTCTAAAAGCATCTACACTTGGCCCCTCAGTTTTCACTGTCTCTTCAACGCGCGCCCGTTTCTACTCCGCAAATATGCGGAGGCGCGATGGTATGAGCGGTGTTTGTCAGCACCGAGAACGGCTTAGATCGCATCGTAGCATGCCGAGAGGGCAGATCTAGCCAGGGAGAGCAGGGAAATCCCGGATTTTTCATGCAAGTCATGCCCGCTAGAAACAATCGCAGCACCCAGACAGCGTCATGAAAATTTTCGCGGATTATGCTGAAGTTTGTCGGGGAGGACGTCTGGAGCTGCGAGTTATTCGTATGTATATGCAAATGCGGACAAGCGCCGCAGTTCGTACGAATTCCTTTAATGAATGTTACACAGATATATACATATATATATAGGTGAAAAATTAAAGCTTCCGCCTTTTGTTGGGTACTTCGACAAAATTTAAGCAAAGAGGACTCTTTATACTTTTTTTAATTCTCTCTAGCTTTCAATGGACTTTGCCATCATCATCAGGAGCTGCAATTACAATGATAACAGTAGCAACAAAAGTGTAAAATGAATTTAAATTGAATCAACTTACAGTAGTATGTGAGGATGTTGCTAATTGTTGTTTTCGTATAGGATGAGGGAAACGTCCAGTAACATGGTGAGAGCTGGATACATGGTACAATCGTTAAAATTATGTAAAATATGACAAGACAAGTTAAAGACAGATTAAAAATTATTTAGAAAACATTAGAGCATTACGTCGTGAAGCCACTTGATGATTGCACAAAATGGTGGTCATGGAATAATGAGTGAGATGAACCTTTGACAGATGGCCGAAGGTTGTCAATGTCTGTGGTGAAAGATGGAACGAATTGTGGGCGTGTGCTAAAACGTTACCAAATCACTTCAGATGATGTGATTTTCAGAATGTTATGTAAGAAATTGTTAAACCGACCAGAGGCAGTTGAATAAACTATATTTTAATTAATGGGAATTTTAAATTAACAATTATTAAGAAATCGTGAGAAGAGAATTATTAGATTTTGAGTGGAATGAAATATGTTTCCCTCATCCTATACGAAAACAACAATTAGCAACATCCTCACATACTACTGTAAGTTGATTCAATTTAAATTCATTTTACACTTTTGTTGCTACTGTTATCATTGTAATTGCAGCTCCTGATGATGATGGCAAAGTCCATTGAAAGCTAGAGAGAATTAAAAAAAGTATAAAGAGTCCTCTTTGCTTAAATTTTGTCGAAGTACCCAACAAAAGGCGGAAGCTTTAATTTTTCACCTAACTGGTCTAGACGACAATGACCACGTCTCAAGTTATATATATATATATATATATATATATCGTTTTTCTTTTTCCCTCTCTATCTTCGTTTCCTCAGGTTACACCCGTATCCGGATGTGTGGGCTTGAGTATCTACCTTTGTAGTTTCATATGCGCATTCATTTCAGACCTGATGAAGCCAACCAGCAGAAATACGTATCGCTCGGGTTACCTATCCTATTTTCTGCCCGAAACCAGTTTCCTCCTTTTTGCGGATTTTGCCCATTATTTTCCTACTTCTTGTTATATATATCCGCATGATCATTTTCTCATGTTTGGTCACGACATACCGATATTTAAGGGGGGTATTTTTCAGCTATTTTTATCGACAAATCCACCCCCTACAATGTCCTACCTCATCCCCCTTGAAATGGCAGCCATTTTTATTTTTACGTTACTATTATGGTAGTGCATGTTTGAAAATTGTAATAACTGGATCCATTTTAAGGGGGGTGAGGTATGACATTGTAGGAGGTGGTAATGTCCATAAAAATAGCTGAAAAATATCCCTCTCAAATATTGGTTTGTTGTGACCAAACACATTGTATATACAGGGTGACTTTGAAGTTGAGTCATTAATTTTCAGATAACGATTGTAGAAGGAAGATCAACCAAAATATTTGTGTAAAAATAAAAAAAATAAAAAAATGTTAACTTGTTTTATAAAGTATCCTCCCGACAAGTATTTCAGTGCGGACCTATATTTGATCGTGCGGTCTTGGAGCACCGGCATGCCCTCCCCTGTGAGGTCTTAAGTCACCTGATTCACAAGCCCTTTGTACTACATTAACAAAGGCACGAGGGGTTGGTTGCACTCGATTGGAAAACCGATCCCTATAAATCCGTGATGCCGCGGCAGCATTTTGTAAAGACTCCCCCCCCGTAAATAAGAATTATGTCCACAAGTTCAGCATTTTCGTAAGCCACACAACAAACACCACTATTCACTCACGCGTTACCGACTGACACATTGACTGGATACAACTGAATAAAATTGTAGTAAAAACATCGTGATAAGCGTTTCAAATTCTTTTGCTTTTTTGTTTCCGATGCGATGAACCGATAAGGCGGATTATATCCGTTGTTGCCAAACACGAGCACATAATATTATTATTGAGACAGGGCGGTACTCAAACTCTAAAGGGCTATAACTTTGTTACTTTAATTTTACCTGAAAAATGTTAAAGGAAAAAACGTTTCTTTTGATCACATCTACTCACTGTTAAAATAAATGACTCAACTTCGAAGTCACCCTGTATATAGTAGTATATATGTATACAGGGTGTCCGCAAAGTTGGGGTTTTCCTTTACACGACGTGTAGATCTTGAAAACATAAGCAATTTTTATTAGTACTATATACACCAATGTCTTAAGGGACGTTTCACGTCCAACGTGTACAAGCCCTTCAACCTGACGATTTTCCAGCAAGAGTGCGGTTTTGTAAGTGGTTGTTGCATCAACATGACAATAATCCGTACTTTTTGAAGTGCATATTGGTGACAGACGAATCTACGTTCACACGTAATGGGGTGAATAACTTTCGCAACACTCATGTTTGGTCAGTAGAAAATCCGCACGCTGTCCGTCGGGCACATTTTCAACAAACATTTTCGGTGAATCTTTGGGCTGGCATGGTGAACGGTATGCTCATTGGACCATTTATTCTCCCAAATCGATTGGACGGGATGCAATACCTAGACTTTTTACGCAACATTTTGCCTTCCTTGTTAGAAGATGTGCCATTAAGTGTAAGACAATCAATGTGGTTTCTGCACGATGGTCATATTTGTTACCTCTGTTCGTGGTCTACTGGTCTGCACCACCGCCGGCGTCTGCTCGGTAGCGTATGATTTCGGGCAGAGACGTACTTAGCCCTTCTCGTCAACTGGAGAGTGAGTACTTTTTTCTTTATTTTTTTTACTTGGTCGCCCACGTTTCACTACACATTACCTTTGTTATTTCAAGGGTAGTTGTTTCTGAAAAGGAAAACCCCAACTTTGCGGACACCCTGTATATATATACTACTTAATGCAACGAACAACGGCAAAAGGTGATATCCAAGACGGCAAAACGTAAAATGAATATCAGCATACCCTGGAAACGCAAGAATGTCAACCCGTCACAGAGCACAACAAGTGGCCATCAGTCTCATAACGACCCGGGATAATTTCCTTAGTACAACTTGTGCACGTGTTGAAACGAAATGACCATCCGCTTCGATATCGTTTCTCTAAATCAATTGGATGTCAATTTTGGTAGCTAAATCATCTTTTTGGACGAAGGGAGGTTACGTTAACAAGCAGAACTGTTGGGATTTTGGGTTTTGAAAATCTACATATCATAGAAAAACCGACGCATCCAAAAAAGGTAACTGTTAGGCGTGGCTTTAGGAGCTATTGATGAAATAGACCCACAAACTATCGAAAATGTACTTCAAAATTGGGTTAAGAGGATGGACCACTGACAGGCGAGCCGCGGCAGCCATTTAACTGAAATCGTTTGTCATAAATAATCGGAAGGTGTATTATACATATCTATACAGCGTGGCAGCTCAGTTTTTTTTTGGAAAAACGCTCAGACCCGTCGATTTTGTTTTCAAGGGGGATACAAGTTTGGCAAAAAATAACGTTAACACGTGCATCGCCTGGGCGGGGGTGACATCAACCCTAAAATCTTAAATGGAAAGGGGGGTCGAGTGATACCTTATTTTAACGGTCTTTCAATTCCCTTTATAATGATGTAAAATACACGAGCTCTTTCGAGGTCCACAACTCATAGAGAGGCCCAGAAACTGGGATTTAGCACTTGCAAGGTAAGTTTTCTTATAAAAAAAGTGAAGTAAAAACCCTAAAGTTGCACAACTTGTTTATAGGGCAAATAAACGCCACTATTAACTCCACTGCAAAGGCTTAGATGGGCTAAAGAACATAGACAATGGACACCTCAACAATGGTGTGCAATACAATGGAGAGATGAGGCCCGATTCGAAGTTTGTGTTGGTGACAGTCGCAGTAGAGTTATTCGCAAAAAAAATGAAGCATTCCATGTTGACTGAGTGAATTTCCAGCATCCATTATGGTCTGGGGCAGTA